CGTGTACGCCCGGGTGCTGGCGCTGCACCCCGAGGCGCCCGGCCTCTACAACTACCTGCCCTGGCAGTACCACGCCGGCCAGGGCGCGCTGCTCTACTCGGCCGAGGTGGAGATGCTGTGCGACCAGGCGTGGGGCAGCATGCTGGAGGTGCCCGCCGGCTCCAGGCTCAACCTCACGGGCCTGGGGTACTTCTCGTGCCACTCGCACAGCGTGGTCCAGGGCTACTCCTACTTCTTCTTCCTCAGGTGGGTCGGGCGTTCCCGGGTCGTCCCCCACGCGGTGTGCGCCCCTGCTCAAGCCCACTTGGCTCCAGGCCCGCGTCTCTTCCCTGGAAACCCGAGCCGATTTCGGGGCGCTTCAGGCAGAGGTCACAGTGCTTTCCAACAAGATCAGACTTTTAAACTGGCTCCTGCGGGAGCAGACAGGAACAGTGAAGCAAGCAAACTGAAATCAGGCTTTGGCGTTCTGGCCTTCTCGCCTGTGATCCGTCGGGGTCCTCCTCGCCTGCATAGGGTGGGAAGCAAGGCTGGTTGGTTCTGAGGCACGGGAACGCAGGCAAATCACCTGTGCAGAGCAGTGGCCTGACCACGATGTGCTGTGGGTCCCGCTGCAGCGCCAAGACAACCTGGCCGTCCCTTCACCTCGGGTCTCCTGACAGCCGGCAGGTTCTCCAGAACAGCAGGTTCCTGGACCTGCTGGGCTAAAGCTCTGGGTCACAATATTTTGAGTACAGAGGTGGATCCCACAGGTGGTCCTCGCTGATTCAGGGCTGCTACAACCTGTGAGATTCTGTGAAATTGGCCTTTGGTCATGATGGAAAGCATCTGCCCCCGAATCAGGCAATTCTCACTGACTACTGGATTCCAATGAAATCTGAAATTGAAAACAGCAGGTGAAACCCTAAACTCCTTGGTTGATTTCAGTGAATGAGTGATACAGAACATCAGTGAGAAACCTGCATTTCTAGACAGCAAGGGAATTAGTCCACAGGTGGTGTGATCAATAACAGTTTCAGGTTTCCCAGTCCATAAAGCAGCTCTCTGGGTATTGGAATGATCCGATTTTTAGCCCCAGCACAATGAGAAAACAATCCCATGGAGGGGTGTTTGGAAGCTCAGGGCCACACGTGTTTTCCAAATTGAGGCCAGAATATCTAAGTTTAGAATAACATGTGCTGCTCTGTGTTGGCTTGAGGGGTTTAGCTAGATTACGCTGATTTTTTTTTAATTGCCAGGAAAGTGTAATTTCTAAATAAAGTCAGCCAAGACAGAGAGATTGCCCTTCCACACAGAGAAACGTGACTCACATTTTTCATGTTTCTATTTAGGAAAATTACTGAGAATCCAGCTGTAAAACTATGCCAGGACACACTTTGTTTTCCAAAGGAGGAGGAGTCCAAATACTCAAGCAGACTTTATTGCTTTTCTTTATCATGAAACACAATTTTGTCCACTGGCTGGGGTGGTCAGCCGAGTCTTTTTTATCTCTTGCTCTTAACGTATTTACGCAGAGTTAGGGCAGACAGACCACGTCAAATTGCATGTTGCAGATTTTCATTTCACAGGAATGTCTTGCCCTGAAGTGTGTCAGTGGCTGCATACAAATCATTTCTTCTCTGCTGTTCTGGGACCCATTGGCTGAGAACAGACTTCAATCAGTGTGTGTAGGGGATGGCAATAGAGACTCACCAGGGAGGCCATTATGCCCCCTTTTTGCCTGGATTATAAACCTCAGCTCTCTTTTTTTATGACTTTTCTAGCGAGATTTGCATCATGCTTAGTTAAAAAAAAAAGTTTACTAATATTTACTCTATACTACCTCTGTTCCAAGTACTTCATTTGCTTACCTGGTCAAATGACACCATTAAGAAAGCAGGTACAGCAGAAGACTGAGGCATAGGAGTTAGACATCTGCTTCATGTCATATACAAGATAATGCCATGGTAGGATCTGAACCCAGGTCGGCAGAATTGGCAGTTCTCTTACCTGGACACAGGATAGTGTGTCAGAAAAAAAGGCCTACTGGGGACCACAGACAGACAGACAGACAGACAGACAGACATGCAAAACATACATTCCCCCCTCTGTCCTAAAGTCAATTCTTTTGAAAACCTCCAGAATAGACTCAAGGAGCATGAAGCAAAAAACAGAAGTAACTGTAGGGACATCCTTCCCGAGGACCGCGTGGGTCATCAGGATGAACTTGACAAGACTGCCCTGAAACCCTGTGAGTCCTGCCCCAAAGCTGGTCTACCCCAGTGGTCTCAGATCCATCTCTCTTTTTTTTTAATTTCCTCCTCCCTACTAGGATGGATGAAAATTATAACCTCTTGCCTCATGGAGTTAACTTCCAAGATGCCATCTTTCCAGATACACAAGAAAACAGAAGGATGTTTTCCAGTCTCTTTCAGTTTGCAAACTGTTCCCAAGGACAGCAGCTTGTGGCTTTCTCCAGTGACTGGGAGATCCAAGAAGACAACAGGGTAAGCTCTGGTCAGACACTGTGCCACAGCAGAGCAGAACTGCTATGTCTTATATAAGGCTTGTGACTAAAAGAGTTGAGAATACTCATGCAAAACTCAGACCTAAGTGTTTGTTCTCCTCCCTCTCCCTCCCAGCTGTTAGAAAACACTACTCAGAAACTTTGGATTCCTGAGGCTTTGTTATTTGACAAGGGGTTCTTCACAATGTATGGAAACAAAATGAGATGAAAGTCGGCTTGCTGTGTCTTGGTTTCCTCTTTTGCAAAAGAGACAACAGTACCTACAGGGGCGACACCATATGATTTAAATATGTAGTTATGCAAATCCCTTGGCATCATGCTTGGAGGAGTAAATGTATACATGTGAACCATTGTGACTATTCTTGCTATGGTAGTGTTCCGTGGGAAGAAAAAGTCCTCAAGGAAATGAAATAATTATCATAGCTAACACGTCTGTGATTTTTAGATACTTGTTAAGACTGGTAGGATGGCCAGGATGACTGGGGAATAGAAGGATTGGGACTATTTGGGGTATGAAAATATAAAAGGGTCTACTAATGTGGGTCAAATGCCACTTGGCGGAAAGTTTTGAGGATTGTCACTTTTCCAAATCACAGCATTGTCACAAACGGAGTTGGGTTGGTAATGGGCAGGTCAGTCTCAGCCTGTGGGGCGGTGGGCTCTCATTCCCAGGCCCCTGTGAAGCTCTCGTTAGGCCCGTATGACGAAGTCCTGGACAGAACTCTGCTGTGGGAGTTGCCTTCCTCTAGGCTGAGGAATGGACTGGCAGACACTAGCCCCTTGGTTCCCTTTTGTTCAGCTGCGTGGAAGGGTGTGAGGGAAATCACTTCTCTGGTCTGGCTCATGGTCTATGGTAGCTGCTTTGTTTTTCCTGAGTTCTTATCTTTCACCCAGGGCTCCCTGCCTCCCAAAGGTCTCCTCAGACTTGCACAGCAGCTGGTTATGTGGGAGACAGGTATGTCTAGCCAGTGGAGGTTATTTGCTCTTTTTTGACATTTGGGCCTTTATTTCTTAGGTCTATCCTGCTGGTGGCAGCGTTGATTCCTCCAAACCCTCCTCTGTGCTTTATCAGCATGTTCTGGAAGTCTGCCTTATATTTTGCCCCTGACTTGTTTCTAAACACCTGTTTTGTTTACCCTTCTTAATCTTTACTGTTGCCCAATCTATATTGAATGGGATGCACCAGTCTAAGCCTAGTATCCAAACTGAGTCCCATCTGGTGTATTCTGAAAACAACCCTTTTGGACTTGACATTTACTTAACAAAGGCCTCGATAGTAATAGATTTATGTACAGAGTTGAAATATTCTAAAATACCGGAATAGCCCCCAAACTTTAACTACATAACTTAATTAGCCCTATGAAACTATTAACATTTCTCTGGAATTACGATTTTTCCATTATTTGGAAAAAAAACAAACAATAGGACCATGGAGAATTGTTTCAGTGTGAAAGCAGATCTATTTCTGCTGATCTGATGTTGCTCTCAGGAGAAATTCCTTTTCCCTTTCCCTAGTGCTCTGGCCTCTTAGATTACAAAGCATGGGAGTGCTGTGTCCATGGAGGAAGAGTCAAGACTGAAGGAGGAGAATCATTCCACACGGCTCGGCTTTTGAGCAGTTGAATTTAGAAATCTGACCTGAGGCACCTTGAACTTTTCAGACCTTTTGCTTGTACCATTTTTATTCCATGCCCACTTTGAAAAGAGCCACATCAGAGAGCTAAATAAAGTTAGGTCATCATTTTAACATGTAATTTAAAAAATTAAAGTTAAATAAATTAAGAATTTTATGATGCTCCCTTTTTACATAGCCTGGCACGATTAAAGCAATTGCAAACAGACAGTCGCAGAGTTACATGAAGAATTCCTGACAACTGCTTGCTCCCTTACTTTAAAAAATATTAAAATGTCCGTCTTTGTGGGAAGGTAAGCAACAGGTTGCCTTTCCTGCCCAGGATAAGCATGTCATAGAATGTTGGGGACACTCTACATTTTCCCTCAACCTTAGGCCGGATCAAAATTGCTGTTCAGATCGTTGATTTATTGCTGTAGGAATAAGGTCAGGAGACTTTCGTTAACAGAACTCACTAATCCTTTTCACGTTTGGAGAGCAGTTGTCAATGGCCTGCAACTTGCATAAATGCCCCCGCCCCCCCTCGGTGTCATCACTGTAAATCCTGTGTGCGTGTCAGTGAGTCTCTGTGCTTTCCATTGGTGATGCTGTTGCTTTCTGAGCTTCCATCAGCTAGGACAGTTGCTCCACACTCTAGTCAAGAAGAGCGCATTTTTTTTCCTCTTTGTTTTTATTTCTTTCTTTAGGAGTTACACAAGAATCCAGGACTCTAGGGTTGATCTGCAGGTTAAGAGGTGGAACAGGAGGAAAATCTTACGTAGGGGAACTTTTGTGTCACACACCCAGGGCACCAATCAACTTGGTCCTCAGGAGCAAAATCCTCCTGCACTCTGGTTCCTTTCCAGTGCCTCTCTATCTTCAAATATCCCACCCAACCCTTGGTTAATAGAAGCACAATCTTGCTTTTAAAGGTTGCCAAGAAGTCAGCAGCGGTATTAAGCACTCAGTGCCCCTCTGGTTTGGTGTCATGGTGTTAAGGGCACTTGAGGGGGTGTCTTTGGCATGTGGGAGGTTTACTGGCAGGATTCTCTCTGCACCAGCCAAGGACATTTTTCCTTCCTTTTTCTGTCCTGCTGGGTGAGTATAACAGTGAAAACAGAAGTTGAATATTTTCCCCTCTTTTCCAGTACCATCCCCTAGGAGCCAGACCTAGCCCTGACCCACGCTTACATCAGTCTGTCATAAAATGTCATGGGATGAAAATAAAATCTGTGAAGGTCGTTCTGCCCCTCATGTTCTCTCTTCCTTTTTATGGAGCTGGAAAGTGACTCCAAAAGGAAGGAGCTCTCCTCGCCTGAGTGGCCCGAGAAGGAATGTGGCCTCTTAGAAGAGCTGGACGGCTCTGCTGACTCCGGAGGAAGGACCTTGGGCAGGTCCCTTAATTTCTCACAACTGCAGTTTTCTTATCTACCACATGGGATCAGATGTATATAAACCAAAGTTTCTAAGCATCTTATTAGAGCATGTGTTTGAAAGTATTTTATAAGCTATGAAGAGTAATGCAGGGGTTTATCACGACTGTAAATTGATAATTTTAAAGCATTACCTTAAAAGTTGACATTTAAAAGTTCTTTTTAAAGCTTGCTGCTACTTCCCAGGGGAGTCCTAAAACCTTCTGCGACTGGACAGCAACAGAGCGAGGGATGAGGGTTGAGGGGACTGGGTGAAGGGAAGACACCAGCACGGTTTCTCTCCGCAGCATCTATGACTTTTGTATATCTAGTGACACTGTGAGTGTCTAGTATTCATTGAACTGGAAACAGCTACATAGATAACAAATTTTCAGGTTCAAATCTGAAAATATAAAATGGTAGCCAGTGGTTTCTCTCCCGCCTCTGATGCCCTGGTTCCCATCTACCCTCCAGAAATGAACCAGCTGTGATAAGTTCTCGTGTAACATTCGATGACTGTTTTTTATGAGCCAAATGTGCATTATTTTTTGTTGTTTTTGACACACGGCAGCACTGTGCACACTTCGCTACACATTGCTTTATTCACAATTAGATCGTAAAGATCGTTCCCCATCGACACATGTGAAGTTGCCTTATCATGTTCACGACAGGGCCATCGTCTGTGTGTGTCTTGCTGCCAGGCAGCTCTGAATTGAATTCAGTCTTTCTTTCCAGCTCAAACCACCAGTGGTGCATGCATGACTGTCCGTCGGGTGGGTTTGTGCTGCTTCTCAGGGTATCTTTGGAATCAAAGAGAGGCAGTGATTTAGCAGACCAGACGTCACTAAATTACAGTGCCTTATGGAAAAACATTAAAAATGATATTAATTGTGATACAGCTAATTTTTGGTACAGCAGCTGTAAATGCACATTCTACTCACCAGCTATGGGAACTTGTAAGATTTCCATGTTACAGTTCAGAGAATGAATGATAAACTTGTAGAAGAATTGCCATAGGCACAAATTACTTGGAAATAAATTTGTTGGTATAATGATTTTTTAAAAAAATTATTACAAATATATATTATTTGTGTTTATATTTGGGCAGTAATTATTCAAATTCAAGCAACCAAGTACATTTGATCTATTAATAGACTTTTTATTAATTTTATTAGTAAAAAAAAAACCAAGAGAAGTGAGACAATCCGTTTGTACCACCAGGGGTACAGCCCCGGATCAGATGGCAGTTTGAGCCAGCAGAAACATGTTAACTGTGGATGCACCGTTTGTACCCAGGGGTACAGCCCCGGATCAGATGGCAGTTTGAGCCAGCAGAAACATGTTAACTGTGGATGCATTGTAATATATTTAGCTAAGCCTCCTGAGGATGGGTGGTTACTATTACAGTTAGTGCTAAGTAGCATGATATTATGTATGCACCTCATTTTGTGTAATTGTCCAGTCAAATCTTCAGCAAATATTTGAACATTTACTATGAGGCAGCTGTCGTGTTAGATGCTAGGTCTCCATGGTTAGCAAAATACAAAAGCCTCATGTCCTAAGTTTGTCGACACAGTTGAAAAGTCCTACTGATGACTTATAATTTTATTTGGTTTTTTGTTGTTGTTTTTTTTTCTTGTTTTTTTTTTTTTGGTACTGGTGATCGAACTCGGGTCCTTGTGCTTGCAAGGCAGGCAGCAGAACCACTGAGCTAAATCCCCAGCCCTGACTTATAATTTTAAATGGAAACAAATACTTCAAGGACAGAAGGAAAATGAGCAGGGGCTCTAGCCGAGGTTGAAGGTGAAGAGTCTCCAAGGAACCGACGCTCGAGGTGGAGTTCTGGCTGAAGCTGGGGTTGGCAATCCAGGGAGAATCCATGCCAGGGTCCAGGGCCTGGCAAGAAAGGAAGATGTGTCCCATGGCTGGGACTGAGTGAGGGCTGAGCCGAGAGTT